CAAACTGAATGACAGTACATTAACAAAAAAAGAAGAACAAAAGCAGATACCAAACACTCATACTAGATACAGATAGTCCTTGAGTTACGACCGCAATGGAGCCCCAAATTTTTGTTGTGAAGTGAGATATTTGTTAAGTGAGTTTTGCCTCATTTTATACCACGGGTGGTTTAGCGAATCAACGCAGTGGATAAGTTAGTAACACGGTTACTAAGTGAATCTGGCTTTCCCCATTGGTTTTGCTTGTCAAAAAGTTGCAAGAGGAGATCACGTGGCCTTGGGGCACACAGCAACGGTCATAAGTACGAGTCCGTGGCCAAGCGTCTGAATTTTGATTCACTCTCCCAAGATCGTAAGTGTGAAAAACGGCCATACGTCACTTTTTCCCCCAGTGGCGTGGCTACTTAGAACGGTCACTAAATGAACTGTTGTAAGTCGAGGACTACCTGAACTCCGAAAGACATCCGGGAAGACAGGGATGGGAACGAAACCAAGCTGTCGGAAGCAAAGGCACAGAAAAGAAGGAACAAAACACGGCCCCGAATCGGGTAGAACCACCTTTTTAATGAATTTACAGATACAAAGAAAACGAAACAGACAATCGTACCAGGCCGGGCTATACATCAGGAACAAATCGGGCGAGAAATAGTGACACACAGAAACAATACTGTGCATTTGGACCGGGACACAGGAGTGCAAGGATCAGAGAGATTGGGAGGAAGGAGTAAAGAAGAGGGTGATGCCCTTGGCTCTCTTCGGGCAACAAGGGGGAGGCAAGACAGGAGTCCGCACAGAGATTTTGGGGAGGGGAAGGGTAGGGAGGGGTACGTGCGACAGTGCCACCGAATGGACTGGTGTTGCACAGACGATGCAGGAGAAGATGGGCTTAGCAAGGGAAGTTCTCGAATGAGACATGTTGTTTTTGTTCCCTCCCCATCTCACCCTACTTCCTAGTGGCCTTCGGGTCTTCCGGTGACCCACTCACCCATGATCACCTGACTAGGTCTTGCTGCACTCCAGATGGATGAGTCAGGATGAGACTCAACTCTCCTACCATCTCTGAGCCAGTCGAAAGATCCCCAGCCGTATCAGATGGTCAGGAAAGAAATCACCGTTCCAAATATCTCCATGACATCTCAAGAGTCCCTGGAATGACTGAGACACTAAGTCCTCCCCACAACTAGTTATTTAACCACTAAGACTAGTTGATTTATCCACGACTTCTCCTCCCCCTCAACATCATCCCTACACTCTGTTCTCTCCTTCCTTTCCAACCTCTCCTTCCTTAGAAGAACGTCAACTGTTGGTGATAGACCAGTCCGTGATGGTCCTCCTGTTAGTCACATTCATATCAAAAGAACTATTTGAAACCATCTGCTCTGAACCCAATGAGATGGGGCTGCCACAAAGAAAAGGGGGCCCAACCCAGTGGTCAGATTCAAATAATTTAACAACCGGTTCTCTGTCCTAATGACCGGCTGGGTGGGCGTGGGCATGGTGGGCATGGCCAGAGGGCGTCACAGGCAGCAGTCAGCCTCCTGCACCCCCCTGGGAGCAAAAATGAGCCATGGGGAGCCACGCTGTACCCCCACCTCCGTGCCCCATTTTGGGCCTAGTAGGCCTCCCTGCAGCCTCCTGGGAGCAAAAATGGGCCATGGAGGGCCCGCGCCACACCCCCATGCCCCGTTTTGTGCCTAGTAGGCCTCCCTGCACTTACTTGGGAGCCAAAACAGGATGTGTGGGGACTTCTGGAAGGGGCAGGGAGGGTGGGGCCAGCCAGCAATTTAACAACCGGTTCAGCCAAAGTGGTGCAAACCAGTTGAATCCCACTAGCGGACCAACCTATTTTTCCAAAGCACCTGAAGACAGAACAAGAAGCAATGGATGGAAACCAGTCGAGGAGGGGACCAACCTAGATCTAAGGAGAAATTTCTTGACAGTGAGAACAATTAATCCGTGGAACGGCTTGTCTTCAGAAGTTGGGGGGGGGGGGTTCCACCACTGGAAGTTTTTAAGAAGAAATTGGACAACTCCTTGTCTGAAATGGTATAGGGTCTCCTCCTTGAGTAGAGGGGTGGACTAGAAGACCTCCAAGGGTCCTTTTCCAACTCTTCTGTTATTCAGCTCTGGATTGTACAAAATTCAGTAACCTCACCTTGTGGAAACTGCAATTGGGCAATGGCCAGAATAAAATTAGGACTAATCCCCAATGTCTTTCTAAAACAGGCTTCCCAAACATTTTCCGACATTATACAAAACCCCATTTCAGAAAGTTCTTTTTACTGTTGATCAGAGAGTCCTTAGTTCAAGGTCCCTTGTTATGTCTGGGTAAGAGGTTTGTGTGTCATTATGCAAAGAAAAACCATTTCCACCTAAGTTTGAGTAATTTAGCCGAGTTTGGGAAGTGCTGTTGCTAGAAGCCGAGACTGCATCTACGGTCCAGTCAAGGGTGTCTTCAGGATGTGATTGTCAGCACTTCAACCTGCATTTACTCTAGTGCTGACATAAGAAGGAGAAGCGGAGGCGTCTGGAAAGGGACGTTTGACTTTTCACCTACTTATTTTCCCTGGAGATAATATCCCCTAGGAGATAAGATGGGAGGGGGGAATTCCTTTGAGCTGGAGTAGTTTACAGGTAGAATGACTTGGAAGATGGCCAATGAGTGCAGGGGAGTGGGGAACGGAAAGGGAGGGTTTTGGGGCTGGAAATCAGTGTTGGCTTCGTTTGGAGTCAGGTTAGAATGTCGTGCTTAATAAATAGGAGTTTTTTCTTCAAAGACTTTGTTTGAAATGCAATTTATTTGAGACGACCTCGAAACTTGACAGTGATCTCAAAAGTCAAGAAGGCCGCTGCTTGGGTTTATGTCCATGAGGTCAGAAAAAATCAAGATGGCAGCTACAAGGACATAAACAAATCTGATCTTCAATAACAACAAGGTTGCAGTCTTGAATTTTATGACCATACACTGCAGACAGCACTGTTGTTGAAATCTTTTTATCCAAATCAGATGCATGAATATGGGTGCAGATGGGGCTGGGAAAACATGCCCTGTAGGTCTCAAACTGATTTAATCGCCCTTCTGTCTGCCCCCCCCAAAAAAAACTTTGCTAAAGCTGGTGTGTGGACAACCTTAGAACTTTTATCTCTGTGTCCTAAACCCTTTTACCAAACTACAATTTCCAGAAACCTTTGAAAGAAGCTTTGACAATTACATCAGGATAAAACCAGTGGTGGGATTCAGCCGGTTTGGGCCGGTTTGGGGGAACCGGTTGTTAAATTGCTGGCTGCCCCTGCCCCTTCCAGGAGTCCCCACGGGCCCTGTTTTTTGCTCCCAGGAGGCACAGAGAGGCCTACTAGGCCCAAAACGGGACACGGGGGGGCAGCGTGGCCCCCATGCCCCATTTTTGCTCCCGGGGGGGTGCAGTAGGCCGAGTGCTGCCTGTCACACCCTCTGGCCATGTCCATCATGGCCACACCCATGGTGTGATCAGCTTTCCTTCACCGGATGCTCTTTATAGCAGGGGTCTCCAACCTTGGCCATTTTAAAACTTGTGGACTTCAACTCCCAGAATTTCTCAGCCAACATGGCTGGCTGAAGAATTCTGGGAGTTGAAGTTCACAACTCTTAAAAGTTGCCCAGGTTGGAGACCTCTGCTCTATAGAGTTCGGAGTTGAGGAACCTAACTCCCCCAGATTCCCAACCAGCGAGGTCAAAAGTCCTTTGTTATCTCAAGATCCAAAGGAGGCCCGATCCCAGCAAACCATGATGCAGATAAGACCATCGGCACCATCTCTGAGACGATGACTCAACATGTGTGACGTCATTACGGCTTGTGCCACACGGGTCGGTGATGTTGCACCATCCAAACCCGCTTAACCTGGGCCTGGAGAAGAGGTGAGGCCAGAAGAGGCCATATGGAAGAGAGACACTCGTGTTTCTCGACCTCAACCACTTTAAGATGCATGGACGTCAACGTGACCACTTTAAGATGAGTCCACGCATCTTAAAGTGGCTGAGGTTGAGAAACGCTACCTTAGGGCAAAGGGGTACAGGATAAAGATTAATATATTCCCAACCCAGGTGGGCCACGGTGGGAGAGCAGAGCAGGGGATAGGGCACCCTACGGAAATCCATCCATGTGAGGGGTACCAAATCCCGGAAAGACAGAACACGGAGACACACGTACAAAACGATAGAAAAGATCTGGAAACAAGGTCATTGTGGACTCACTTGTGCTCTCCAATTCCTTTCCGAAGAGATGGGGGAAGGCAGGAATGGAGCATATTAGCACACACCAGGGCACCCCCCCCCCCCCTTACCCCCCCCCCTTTCTTCCAAGGAGTCCACAGTATAAAATCGGAAAAATAAAGCCAAGGATTGCCCCCCGGGCCGGGGGGGAATATTTTTTTTTTTCTTGGGTTTTTTTGTTTGTTTGTTTTGTTTTTTTTAAAAAAAGCATAACAAATCGCACATTCTTGTTGCATTTTCACATCCTGTTTCAGCTCTTCGCCACAAAACCACAGGAGCCGGGATGGGAAAGGGGACATACAGGTAATCTCAAAAGTCTGTCGAGTTTCGTAGTCTGAAGAAGAGAAATGATTTTCGTCTTGAAAGAGTGTTAGCCATGCCACCTGGAGAGCGAACGAGGGCACCTTTGGTTCCCGGGGCACCACGATTGGGTTTCGCCCAAGGTCCCCCGTCCCCGAGTTGTGATGACTCCCACCAGCGTCGCCCTTCTTCCGATAGTTTGCTTGGCGTCCTCACCCTGCACCCCAAAGACATTCCCATGCAAAGGAAACAAAACAGGCCACGAGAGAAAGAGAGATAAAATGCAGCAGGCAAAACCCACGAAGCCATTAAGCAGCTCCTGAGGCTTTAATGGTGGCATCGGATGGCACGGTGGAGCTCAGGAAGGCCTGGGAGGGGAGCTTTCGAACCCGCCACTCCTGCCCATGCTGCCTTCCTTCATCCAAAGGGGGAGGAGGAACCATCCCGCTGAGACAACTGATGGGCCGTGGAGCTGGGTAGACGAAAGGTGCCACGGAGCAGGGCAAAATGGCAGGTGAAGCATGCCACGGAACAGGAAGGGGGATTCACGGCTGTTCGGTGTCCTCTAACTCCTCCTCCTCCTCCAGCTCTTCTTCGACCTCGTCATCTTCGTTGTCGTCGAGCGACACCACGCCGGAGGAGGCCACATCGGAGACCTTTCTCCGGACCTGGCAACTGTCCCCATGGACTTTGTAGTCCTTGCACGGAAGGCCCTCCTCCTCCGTGGGCGAGAGGCAGGACTCGGTGAAGGACATGGAGTACATAGAGTCCTGGCACTCGAGTTGTGCCAGGCTCCGGAAGGCACATTCTCCGGCAGTTTGTGTGGTGGGCAACTTGGAGATCAGCATGTCCTCCCCGCCGGATACGGAGCCTAACAGTTTGGCGGCAAGTTCGGAAGGGGAGCTCAACTCCTTGAGAAGGAAGCTGTCGTCAAGGCTGCAGAGACTGGAGCACAAGGTCTCCGGGGAGATGGTGGACTGAGAGGAATCGCTTTCCGGGTCACAGGAACCTTGCCGGGAGCTCAGGTGGCACAGGCGGCTGTGCAGGAAACCTTTCAAGAGGGTGTTACTGGGGAGCTGGCCCACTGCGTCTGCAACACAACAACCAAGAGGGAAGAGGTTAGCAATGCAGCATTTCAGCTCAATGCAAAGAAGGACTTGGGGTGACATGATAGCAGCGCTCCAATATCTAAGGCAGTGGTGGGTTGCCTCCGGTTCGGACCGGTTCTATAGAACCGGTAGTAAAACCGGAGGGAGGCTCTGCCCACCGACCCCGACGTCATCAGAACGCTTCTGCGCATGCGCAGGAGAGCGGGCACGCACGCTTCGCTCACACGGACACGCGGGCCCGCTGCGAACTGGTAGTAAGTAGTTTCAGTTTATTTGATTTGTTTATTTGATTTGTATACCGCCCTACTCCCGAAGGATTCAAGGTGGTGAACAGCCACAAGATAAAAACACATAAATATAAAATTTAAAGCAGGATAAAACCGAATTAAACAATTTGGCCGAAGACAGATTTAAAACACCCCAATAAATTAAAAATGAATTAAAATTTGTGTTTTAAAAAGGGAGAAAAGGGAGAAATTAGGCCAGGCCAGCCTGATGGAATAAAAAGGTCTTAAGAGCGTGGCGGAAGGTACGTAGATCCGGGATCCTCCGTATCTCCAGGGGGAGCTCGTTCCAGATCGTAGGTGCCCCCACAGAGAAGGCTCTCCCCCTAGGGTCCGCCAGTCAACATTGTTTGGCCAACGGCATCCGGAGGAGCCCCTCTCTATGAGAGCGTACCAGCTGGTGGGAGGCTACTGGTGGCAGCAGGCGGCCTCGTAGAACCCACCCCTGATCTAAGGGGTTGTCGCAAAGAAGAAGGGGGTCAATCTATAGCCTGACTAGGTGGCTCAGTGGCTAAGACCCTGAGCTTGTCAATCAGAAAGGTCGGCAGTTCAGCGGTTCGAATCCCTAGTACAGGCCTCAGTGCGTACTAGGGATTCGAACCTAGCTTCCAGGTCCCTTTCAACTCTATAGTTACTGTTTTAACTATTCTCCAAAACACCCGAGGACAAAACAAGAAGTAACGGATGGAAACTCATCATGGAGACAAGCAACTTAGAAATAAGAAGAGTTATGGGAAAGGAACTATGAACTAACAATGTCCACTGCATATAAAGAGAACACCAAGGACTCCTCCCTTCTAGATTATTTCCCCTGGCTAATTTTGATGACATTGTGCTAATATTCTCATTTTTTTCAAAACACCTTCAAACCATGAGCCAAGCTTACCAACATCCTATTTTTCTGGTGGGAATTTTGCCAGAGCAAAGACCCACATCCCAATCAGGTACACACCCCACAACTAGAAAAGAATTAGGCAGGGGTGGGCTGATGGGGGGTTCAGGAGAACCTCTAGCTAAGATTCTGTGCAGTTTGGAGAACCCCCAAATCCCATTCTCGGCTGGCCCCTCCCACCCCGCCCCTCCCCTCCCAGGAGTCTCCATGCGGCCCATTTTGGATGCAGTTAAGTGCAGGGCATGCGCGGACGCTCGGGGAGGGTGAAAAATGGGCCTACTGGAAGTTCAGGAAGGCCAGAAACAGGCCTGTTTTGAGCCTCCAGAGGGCCTCCAGAGCCTGGGGAGGGCATTTTCGCCCTCCCGGAGGCTTGATGAAAACATCCGGAGGGCAAAAACACTCTCCCCGCCATGGTGCAGGAGGCTGACTAGGCCACATCCACCATGGCCACACCCACCCGGCAACAAGGCAGAGAACCCCCTTGCTAAAATTTTTGAAGCCCACTCCTGGATTTAGGGGGTCTCATCCAGACACCTCCTCGGTCTCTTGCCTCCATATGATAGAGATGATTAATTTGAATTGTCCTTAGATGTTACACTGGCAGATTACGGCTCACTTTCTTTTATATGTAAATGGACCCAGATTTGTCAGCAATTCATTGAAAGGAAAAGAAAGCTTTTGTCTGCCCCCAAAATATAGAGATTACACACTTTGTCAACACACATGTGGCCAACTGGGAGGGCTCTTGATGGACACAAAAGGTTCTCTTTTTTTCCCGTTTTTTTACAAGATACATATATATTAATACAAACGACAATACATAAAAAGAAAAAATGACTTTGCTCACACATTCATTATCTTATTCACGGTGCATATTTGTTAATTATTATTATACAAAATTTTTCATTTACTCTCATTTCTGCGAGTTATCCAATCATACCACCTATTTCACGCTGTATAACATTTTGAGTTTACCTTGTCCTTCATTTCAAATGTTAATTTGTCCATTTCTGCGCAATTATAGATTTTTTTGGATTATCAATTGATCTGTTGGCAGTTCGTCAGTTTTCCAATATTGGGCGAGCGCCAATCTGGCTGCAGTGACTATGTGTAATATTAAATACTTTATTTCTTTCCTATAGTTTTCTTTAATCATCCCTAGTAGGAAAATCTCTGGTTTAAGTTCTATTTTTTCCGATGTTATTTCTATTAGCCAAATTCTTACTTTTTCCCAATACTTCCTAATTTTTGGGCAACGCCACCAAAAATTGCCCAAAAATTAGGATACAAAAGGTTCTAAAAGGCCCAGAAGTCCTTCATGTGCAACTTGGCGGGAGCAGCCGAGAGAAGGTGGATTTACACGCTTCTCTGAAAGGGGCAGCTGGAACGCTAATCAGAGTATCCTAGTGGGTAGATCCATATTTAGAGCTTGTCTCTGCTTGCACCATGCAAGTCCTTGAAATATCTTTATCTTTTTTTTGCTTTTCCTTTTGTCCTATCTCCAGCCCATGAGCGAGAGGGGCGACTTAGTCATCGTGGAACAGGAGAGAGGCAGTGTACTGTGACATGACGTGGCCCTCCAAAGGGGACGAGCTGACATGGTAATGGCGCAAAACTTGGTTTGATCATTTTGCAGGATGGGTCTTCTCCTCTGTCATTTCCTCCTCCACCTCAACTCCTTCTCCTCTTCTTCCTCCCTCTTCCTCCTCCTGTCCTTCTCCTCCTCCCTCCTCATCTCCTCCTTTCTCCTCTTCTTCCTCCCTCCTCCTCCTCCTCATCTTCTTCCTCCTTCTCTTCTTCTTTCCTCTCTTCTTCCTCCTCATCTCCTTCTCTTCTTCCTCCCTCCTCCTTCTGTCCTTCTCCTCCTCCCTCATCTCCTTCTCTTCATCCCTCCTCATCTCCTCCTTTCTCCTCTTCTTCCTCCTCCTTCCTCTTCTTCTTCCTCTCCTCTTCCTCCTCCTCATCTCCTTCTCCTCTTCTTCCTCCTTCCTCCTCCTTCTCATCCTCCCTCTCTTCTTTCTTCCTCTCCTCTTCTCCTCATCTCCTCTCCTCTTCATCCCTCTCCTCATCTCCTCCTTTCTCCTCTTCTTCCTCCCTCCTCCTCCTCATCTTCTTCCTCTTCTCTTCCTCTCTCTTCCTCCTCCTCCTTCTCTTCTTCCTCCCTCCTCCTTCTTCCTTCTACTCCTCCCTCATCTTTCTCTTCATCCCTCCCTCATCTCCTCCTTTCTCCTCTTCTTCCTCTCCCTCCTCCTTCTCTTCTTCTTCCCTCTCCTCTTCCTCCTCCTCATCTCCTTCTCCTCTTCTTCCTCCTTCCTCTCCTTCTCATCTCCTTCTCTTCTTCTTCCTCATCTCCTCCTCTCCTCCCTCCTCCTCATCTCCTCCTTTCTCCTCTTTCCTCCTTCCTCCCCTCCTCATCATCTCCTCCTCTCCCTCTCCCCATCTCCTCCCTCACTCATCTCCTCCTTTCTCCTCTTCTTCCTCCCTCCTCCTCCTCATCTCCTCCTCCTTCTCTTCCTCCCACCTCCCGCCCCCTCCCCCTTGAGACTGCTTTCTCAGTTAAGAGGAACTCATTGGCATCCTTCAGTCTCAAGAGACTATGGTATCGTGCTCAGGAAAGAGGTCCTAAAACAGCATCTAGTGTGACTAAAAAGACCAATTCGAGAGTGGCAATCCTTTCCACACTGAGGGCAGATACATTCTGTCCCCTGCCCAGCCCCCAGATTTCATCGGTTCTGGGACTACTTCTTTGCCTCAGCCTGCCGAACAAGTGTCTCTTCTAATTGGAGAAGGCCATGCACCGCATAAGAGGAACTACAGGAAGAAAAAATACATTTTCCCTGCAAATGAAAACATCTGGAACTCCGAAGAGGTCCAATTGTGCAGGGGCTTAAAAGAGGTTCCAAAAATGCCAAGATGGCCTCTCTGTGTTGCCTAAAAAGAGACCCTCCCTCTTTCAATCTGAAGATCAGGTTTGCAGTCATAAACTAATCGGGCAATCTCCTGGCCTTGAGGGGCACTCCTGAACTAATAGGATACAAATCGTTGGAAGAAATATCCTTCTGGGTTCAGTTCCAAGTGGGGGAAAAGCCACTGGATTTATGGAAGATGCTTGGAAAGAAGGTTTTTGGATGAACAGGATCACACGCCTTGGAGATCTTGGGTGAAAAAAAGGGTAGAGATGCTGAGAGTGGCTGGGTTTTATGCCCTCTGTTGGGCTTTGAATTTGAACTTGTCTTCTGATTGGTTATCAGACTCCCATGGGGCCATGCAGGGGTAACTTTGTAGGTTGTCTGTGTCCCAGGCTTGGTTGACTCTTGCTGGGTGATGATGTAATGAAAGGGCTTTGGGCAATTTGTACTATGGCTCTGCCTGAAGGAGGTAGATGTTTGTTATGTAGAATAGACTGGACAAAAGGCCTTCATGGCCCATTGACAAAGGTGGTGGTGGGGACACTGAGTTTCTGCCTCCCTTGTAGGAGAAATATTCTGCCTTTTTAATATTTCCTAAAATATCTCATTTTCCTAGGAGAGGGGTGGGTGCTAACTTCCTACAATAGTCTTAAACGCAACCGGGCCTTTCAGAGCAACTGTAATGCTGATGCGGCCTTCAATGAAATTGAGATTGACACCCAGAACCTACAGGGTGCTGGTATTGCATTGAGACCTAGATTTTGGAATAAAGTAAGTGGATTGGTTCAGGGGTGGGTTCTAAATTTGTTTACTACCGGTTCTGTGGGCGTGGCTTATTTTGTGGGTGTGGCTTGGAGGTCATGTGACTAGGTGGGCGTGGCTAGCTGGGCAGAGTCATTTCTGGAAGGTCCTCGCACTTACGACCAGTCCTCGCACTTACGACCCAACTCATTTGTTTGCTTTTAACACTGATCAGCTGTAGGACGGCCCTTTGAAGCCCCGCGGCAAGAGTTTAAACAGTTTTTTTCCCTCTAGTCATCAGCTGGGACTCAGGAGGCAGCAATAGATTGGGGGTGGGACCAAATAAAAGGTAAGAATAACGTGGGGGGGGTGGGAGGGCGGGGGGAGAACTGGTTCGGTGACATCATATCGTCACCGCTACCGGCTCGGCCGAACCGGACCAAACCGGGACGAACCCATCACTGGATTGGTTCTTTTTCTTTCTTTTCTACCTAGTTCAGCCTCCTGTTGGTTTTCAACCTACCAGAGACGCCAGCCGTTCTCACTTACCAGCTGCCTGGGCAGTTTCACCGGAAGTGGGAAAATCTTCGTCGTAAGACTCATCATTGGAGTCATCCCCTTCCACCGACGACCAAGCTCTGAGTTTGGCCTCAGCGATGGCAAACTGTTCGGCTACACCTGGGGAGAAAGGAGTGTTGTTACGCAGAGGCGGTGAAACACAGGGTGGTGGAAATCACTGTGGAAGTGGTGCCAACCTTAAGGACCGTCATGGAAGTCAGAAATCCAAGCTTTGTATCCGGGGTGAAATCCAACATTTTCCCCTACTGGTTCTGTGGGCGTGGCTTGGTGGGCATGGCAGGAGAAGGATATTGCAAAATCTCCATTCCCACTCCATTCCAGGGGAAGGATACTGCAAAATCTCCATTCCCTCCCCACTCTGGGGCCAGCCAGAGGTGGTATTTGCCGATTCTCCGAACTACTCAAAATTTCTGCTACCGGTTCTCCAGAACCTGTTAGAACCTGCTGGATTTCACCCCTGATTTGTACTTTACCAAACTGGAGTGACAAGCTGGGGATAGATTAATCTAGTAGATTTCAGACCTTCAGCTGATTGATAAAGGTTGGGAAGTCACCTGGGGAAAAAATGTTCCATAATATAAGTGTTTGGTGTTGTCTCAAATAAACTGCATTTCAAACAAATAGTCCTTGATCAAAATCTTTCATTTATTAGGCACAACAATCGAAACTCCGACTCAGTTGCAGCCAACACTGACTTCCTGGTCCAAACCCTCCCTTTCCTTTCCCCACTGCTCTGCTTCTCATTGGCCATCTTCCAAGTCACTCTGCTGTTATCTACTACTTCAGCTCAAAGGAATTTCCCCCCTCCCAACTCATCTCCTAGGGGATAGTATCTCCAGGGAAAATAAGTAGGTGAAAAGTCAAGCGTCCTCTTGCCAGATGCCCCCACCTTCTCCTTCTTATGTCAGCACTGGAGTGAATGCAGCTTGGAGTGCTGACAATAAGTCTATAGAACATAAAACAATAGAGTTAGGAGGGACCTTGGAAATCTTTTAGCCCAACTCCTTGCTTAAGTAGTACACCCTATACCAGTGATGGCGAACTTATGGCATGGGTGCTAGAAGTGGCACACAGAGCCATCTCTCCGGGCATGCCACACCGGCCAGCCAATCGCACACGCATGCACACCAGAAACTGAAAGATTAGGTGACCAGCACGCATGCACAGGCCAGAAACCGGAAGCTCAGCTTCCCCATGCACACATGCGCACCAGGGAGTTGCTCTTCCTGTTTCTGGTGCTCCCTTGCACACACGCGCATGCTCCCATTTCGGCACCCGGTGCCGAAAAGGTTCGCCAACACTGCCCTATACCCAGGGGTGAAATCCAGCAGGTTCTAACAGGTTCTGGAGAACCGATAGCGGAAATTTTGAGTAGTTCGGAGAACCGGCAAATACCACCTCTGGCTGGCCCCAGAATGGGGAGGGAATGGAGATTTTGCAGTATCCGTCCCCTGGAGTGGGGTGGGAATGGAGATTTTGTAATATCCTTCTCCTGCTATGCCCACCAAGTCACGCCCACAGAACCAGTAGGGGAAAAATTTTGGATTTCACCCCTGCCTATACCATTTCAGACAAATGGTTGTCCAGTCTCTTTTTGAAAACTTCTATTGATGGAGCACGCAGAACTTCTGAAGGCCGGCCATTCCATTTTGTTGACTGTTCTCACTGTTAGGAAATGCCTAGGTTGCTTCTCTCGTTGGCTAGTTTCCATCCATTGTTTCTTGTCTTGCCTTCTGGTGCTTTGGAAAAGAAGTTGACCCCCTCGTCTTTGTAGGAGACCCTCAAATATTGGACCACTGCTATCATGTCACCCCTAGACTAGTCCTTCTTTTCATTACTCCAGACATACCCAATTCCTACAATCGTTCTTCATGTGTTTTAGCCTCCAGCCCCCTAATCATCTTTGTTGCTCTTCTCTGCACTCTTTCCAGAGTCTCAACAACTTTTTTACATCGTGGCGACCAAAACTGGATGCAGCATTCCAAGTATGACCGTATTAAGGCTTTGTAAAGCGGTACTAATACTTCATGTGGAGTAATCCTTTGCTTATGTAAGAAAAAAAAAACCAAGCTGATCTGGAAGTTGAAGTTAAACATGTCATCAGCATGAAATCATTGCATTGCCCCAAGAGACCTAAGCCCAACCCTACCCCCATGAATACCGTTGACCGTTACCTAGCATCCATTTAGATTTGACCAGTGGAGGGATTCAAATAATTTAACAACCGGTTCTCTGCCCTAATGATTTCTTCCAACAACCAGTTCGCCAAACTGCTCAGAAAGTTAACAACCGGTTCTCCCGAAGTGGTGCGAACCGGCTGAATCCCACCACTGGATTTGACCATTAGTTCTTGGATTAGAGGTAGCAACAGTAAACTCTTATGTACCTTGAACTCAACAAATGTTCTTGGTTATTTGCACCTGGCATTAATCTAGAAGAGAAGAGTTTATAATATAATATAATATAATATAATATAATATAATATAATATAATATTATAATAATAATATAATATAATATAATATAATATAATATAATATAATAATATAATATAATATAATATATAATATAATAATATAATAATATAATATAATATAATATAATATAATATAATATAATATAATATAATATAATATAATATAATATAATATAATATAATATAATATAATATAATATAATATAATAATATAATAATATAATATATAATATAATATAATATAATATAATATAATATAATATAATATAATATAATATAATATATATAATATAATATAATATAATATAATATAATATAATATAATATAATAACAGAGTTGGAAGGGACCTTGGAGGTCTTCTAGTCCAACCCACTGTTTAGGCAGGAAACCCTACACCACTTCAGACAAATGGTTATCCAACCTCTTCTTAAAAATTTCCAGTGTTGCAGCATTCACAATTTCTGGAGGCAAGTTGTTCCACTGATTAATTGTTCTCACTGTCAGGAAATTTCTCCTTAGTTCTAAGTTGCTTCTCTCCTTGATTAGTTTCCACCCATTGCTTCTTGTCCTGACCTCAGGTGCTTTGGAGAATAGTTCGACTCCCTCTTCTTTGTGGCAACCCCTGAGATATCGGAACGCTGCTATCAAGTCTCCCTTGGTCCTTCTTTTCATTAAACAAGACATACCCAGTTCCTGCAACCGTTCTTCAGGAACAGTTTATTGTTGCTATCTCTAATACAAGGGTTTAGTCAACTATCGGTCACAGAGGGCTGGACTTCAATCTCTCAGGGCAACGCAATGACCCCAAACTGATGACATGTTTGACCCCATCTTCCAGCTCAACTTGCTTTTCTCCTACACTTCTTTTTTGCTTTAACAGTTTTATCAGCTTATAATATAAAATACAAAAATACAAAAGCAAATAGAAAAGAAGGGGGAAAAAGGCGCAGACTTCCAATTCCCTCTGGTGCAATAGAATAAGGAATATATATATTTGCAGTCATTTAGTTAGAAATGCAGGGACACGGTGGCTCAGTGGCTAAGACAAGCTGAGCTTGTCGATCGAAAGGTCGGCAGTTCAGCAGTTCGAATCCCTAGTGCTGCGTAACGGGGTGAGCTCCCGTTACTTATCCCAGCTCTGCCAACCTAGCAGTTCGAAAGCAGGTGAAAAATGCAAGTAGAAAGGTAACAGCGTTCCGTGCGCCTTTTTTTTTTTCTTTAGATTTATATGCCGCCCTTCTCCGGAGACTCAGGGCGGCTTACAAGGCATTAAGCAATAGCCTTCATACTTTTGTATATTTTATACAATGTCAGCTTATTGCCCCCACAAACCGGGTCCTCATTTTACCTACCTTAGAAAGGATGGAAGGCTGAGTCAACCTTGAGCCTGGTGAGATTTGAACTTGCAGTAATTGCAGGCAGCTGGAAGCTAAATACTACCTTTAACAGTAGCATTAGTTTGCTGCGCCACTCAGGCTCCTCAATGCCTTTGGCATTGAGTCATGCCAGCCACATGACCACGGAGACGTCTTCGGACAGCGCTGGCTCTTCGGCTTTGAAACGGAGATGAGCATCGCCCCCCAGAGTCGGGAATGTGCGATGGGAACCTTTACCTTTACCTTTTATTTAGAAATGCAAAGTACAAGATGATCAGAAGGACATGCTTGTTCCAGTGTTTAGGGAAATTGGGCTGCAGAAAAAGGCCAATTTATCTGGGAAAGCTCTCCTAAGGAATAGGAATACTGGAGGAAACAATGATAATAATTACGGTTTAATTATTATATAATTATAATTTTATCATTATAATAATAAAGGCCAATAAAGTAGCTTTTTTTTTTCCTTAGAAGGGTTTATGTGCCTTTAACTGAAAGCTTCCTGCTTGGTGCCTTTCAATTGCATTGGTAACATAATTTGAATTCCTACCAATGGCCCAATTGTCTGTGAACTCGGATTGTAAATATGTATTATCTTTTATTACATTTTTAAAAAAATCTTTCTTAATTCTATTATCTACTTTTTGAGTGCTTCTTAGAACATACATTTAGATCAACTGCGGCGACATACAAGAATGACTAAATAAATTGAACTTCAATTGTTTTTGAGACAGTGGTCGAAGCTGCCGTCTCCGAAACAGACGGCAATGCTGCTAGGAGTGCGTGTTTTTTTTTTGTTTTTTTTTTAAATTTGATTTATATGCCGCCCTTCTCCGGAGACTCAGGGCGGCTTACAATGCGTTAAGCAATAGCCTTCATACTTTTGTATATTTATACAAAGTCAGCTTATTGCCCCCACAAACTGGGTCCTCATTTCACCTACCTTAGAAAGGATGGAAGGCTGAGTCAACCTTGAGCCTGGGGAGATTCGAACTTACAGTAATTGCAGACAGCTGGTGTTAATCACAATGCTATCAGCCTGCTGACCCACCAGGCCCTTTTGTTCGGGACGCACTAATTAAAAAAATAGATTCCTCTTAATTTTTTTTTTCCCTCAAGCTCTTTTTCTGAGTATCCTCATTTCCCTTCTGCGCATAAGATTTCCCTCACGCCTGAATTAAATCTTCACATCTCAACATCGCTTAGCTCGGGGGTGTCAAACTCGATTTCATTGAGGGCCGCATCACGGT